CAACCCATCCTGCACGCGTGCTCAACGGGCTGATCTACGGCCTATGAATGTTGTTCATCGTGAATCCTCGAACATGTTCATGAATCAACAAGCAAGGGCTCAAGCTCATCAAATAGTGACCTCCGGTCAACTATGGTTGGCAGTTTACTCAGGTGGCAAATCCCATACAATCAAGTGATTTGAAGATATTTCTTAGTGGTGATAAGTTCGGGTTAGTCGTAATCTATGACTCGTTGATGAATCAACTGGCATCCCCGTGATGAAACATATCATTCTCCACGGTTCGTCAGATCAAGAGGCCAGTCACGGTATGTGGGCCTGAGGATTCCTCAGTGAGGAACATTCATGGTCGCGAGACAGCAGAGCTGTTGTTGTGGTCTTGTTAGACTTCCTGAATCTACCAAAAGATACATCAGATCGCATCTACAACGAGGAGGTCCTGTTGGAGATAGAGCGGTGACGCAAATTTGAGTATCTACACAACGGTTATGGAAATCGAGTCCTCAGCGGAAGCGGCTCTTGCGACCCTGAGCGCGGCTTCAGTGCTCTGCAGCCTAGCATTCGCCCCCAGACTAGGAACAGCCTGCCGGGTGACAACCCTGACGCCGCTCTGTCGTTGTCTATTAACACACCTGTTGCTTGCGAGGAAACCTGTTGCGTAAGTTTGCTCAACAACCACCAAGGGAAAGAGGGCGGAATACCAATTGCAAGTTCCTCGGCTGAGGAGGTTTTGTGTACGACGATGCAGTGCATCGTCGGGTGCACGGATGCACCGGATGCACTCTTCCGGGGAACGATGACGAGGAGCACGAGTATAATCTCATGCTTCAGTTGGTATATCTCATTATGGAGGAAAGTGATGACGATTGGGCGACTTGTTTGTAGGCTAGAGATGATAAGGCGGCACCAGGTGAGACGGCTAGAAAACGGGCAGTGGAGACTTCTCCCTAATGGTGACTCTTAGTTATCTGAACGGTAAATTCTATAACTTTTCCGCTCCATGAGTTTCAAGTCTTAAAGGCCTCTTGCTGTCAATGATGAATGCGGTTCACGCACTCTAACGTTCTGTACAACGTACATAACACAATCGGAACCCAACGACAGCATTTTCCTTACTTCTCGTTAGACCAACACCGTGTTGGTCTAACGAGAAGTAAGCTACCGTGTTGGCAACACGGTAGATTTTCCATTTCAAACTCCATCAAAAAGTAAAGTATTTGTAGCCCGCGAAGTCGAAGCCCCTCATAAGGAATGCATTATCAACGATACTCGCTCGCCACGAGCTAGCGGCTCATGTTAGCAAAGACGCACGAAGTGATCCGGGCGGAGGAGGAACTGAACACCCCATGCACAAAAACCCTCCCAGTATTCTAATTCAACTGCAGGCGGCACCGATTCGATCATCATGAAACTAACTTAGTTCTAACAACACAGCAGCAGTATCGCCAATTTTCGATAGTTCAGGCCGAAATCGAACCGTACGAAAGCAAGCAACGTCATCATCATCGACCTTCAATTCACTGGCAGGTTATTCACCTTCTTAACGACTGCAACCTAAAGATAGCAACGACATGCGGAAAGCGCTACGCGACCCAATCTTACCGCTTTCGACCAATCTGTCCAATTGGCAATCTTGAAATACACGTCGGGTTTAAGACTAATCCCCTTCTTCGTAGCGTTGCCCCTGAGATCAGCAATCGCTCCCCTCACGAGGAACACACAATTCCTTACTTGAAGTATGAGCGGATGTCAACTAAGTACATGCCCTTGAACGAATATCTGACATGGAGCAATTACTTCCCCATGGCCAGCGAGAAATGATGATGATGACGTAGTATTACACCTTCAACTTCAAGCCCTTATCGATTTCCATGATAATAGCACCGTCGGGGTCGATGAAAGTGGAATCATTTCGAAGCACTCCCGTAAGGACCGGCGACTTAGCTCGGCCACCCTCATCCAGCCATCTGAGACATATCATTTCGCTACAAACCACTTATGCCCGACAAAGGGAAGCTCCACCTTATAACTATTCGGAGATTCTTCCCGCACGCGATTACTATCAGAAATAATTTCTCTACTATTGTTGCTCCTGGTTGATCTCATAGTTCACCCAACAACGTCTACTTAGTCGCGGTGTCGACGATGGATATTAGCAAAAATTGACTGACCACACCTAGAGCATGCGTGCTATAGCTAATGACGAATATTGGAGAACTGCAAGATAAGAACACAAGTTCTACTTCGCTCAGCAAAAGACAAAGTGGAATCCACGAAGTGAATACATATTTCTCTGAATGTAAGAACCACAGCGGAGTGCCTCCCAAAACTGACTTTAGAGCGGCTGTCACCATCTCCTGCCGTGCCATTGTTTTCTCGTACTTCTCAACGTTGAGGAAGACACCTTTCTGTGTGGGCTTGCGACCTTCATCAAAATACCTGTCAATTACAGAAAATTGCTGCTGTGAGAGTTGCATAAAAATCTACTACTTCCTTATATCCATAAACACCATGCCCTTCCATAACTTAGCCTTAACCTTCACGTCATCCGTCACGCGCCACACAAACTCCTTCTGATCACCCTCGCCAGTTGCAGCCACGTACCTATTCAACGTCAAAATTCACCTACGTCCCACTCTGGTCGAACTCCAAGTTTGAAACTCATCTGCTGATCGGAAACTGTGCGTACACATACGTACACATAGACGCACGCGTACGGACCTACGCCCGCACAAAATAAGACAATGCTCCCCGACCCACATCGCCTTTTCCGACTCCTCCCCTGGCTGCACCACTTCTACAGCTGATGATGGTCGAGCCTTCTTCTTGGCTGGAGTAGGGGTCTCCTCAGACTCAGAGGAATCAGAATCCGAGTCAGACGATGATGATGATGACGACGATTCATCACTTGATGATGATGATGATGACGAGGAGGAGGCATCTAAACCGAATAACGCATCCCTACAGTGCGAACCGAACAGTTATGCATATCTAGATTTCCGAGATGGCTTTCTCTAATTCGGGAATACGACTATAGACTACGAAACGCTCCTAAACCGGTGATGTCCACAGATTTACCTTGTTAGCCTGCTGACTTTCGAACTCTCGAAAATTGAAGGTGTTGAAAATATTACTTTGCATAACAGTTTGGTTCACATGGTAAACTTCACGTTGACCATATACGAAACAGATAATTCGGGAAACAACAAGGCATTCAAATCAATGTCGCCCTCGAGGCAAACTCCCAAGGTGTGCCCCCTTTCAGCGGCTATACGGAAGGACACGGACCCGTCTTACCTTCTTCCTCTGCTCTCTTCCGTTTCACGGGCTTCACCGGCTTTGTCGGAGGTTCCACTGCTGTGGTCTCATCATCATCCGGAAATATGTTGTCCATATCGACAGGCGTGGGAATCGAACCAGGGTCGAGAGTACGTTAGCAGAGGCTGGTGGGCACACACCACGCAGTCGAACAATCAAACTATCCATCACACCAAGCCGACCTTCCCTCGAACGCCGATACCATACCAGTCAATGAGAAAATATATAATTCAGCCATATAATGTACAGCAGTAGATGCAATGCAGAGTTATCGCCTCCTCACAAGAACTCATCCGGTCCACTCCTCGTCATCACTATTATGTTTCTTCCTACCATACGAATGGCGCCCACTACTCTGCGGACGCTTATTCTCTGCGCTCTCATCCTCGGACTCCGAATCGCTACTACTGCTGCTCGCCTCACTCTCGCTTTCCGACGATTCGTCATCTAATCACACAAGCATAACCGTCAGCATACCCCAACAAGTGCCTCACTAATCCTTCGACTCCTTCTAGATGCTTCTCTAGGTGGTTGGTGACGTACAGGGGCCTGCTGTCGAGGCTCTCCCCTCAAGGCCACCTCAGCCTGCTGCTGTAGCATAGCCATCGCCGCAGCCGAGCCCATCTGCTGTAGTTGAGCAACTAGAGCCGCCCTTGGCCCAGGCGTGGTCGAGGCTGGAGTTGCCGCGGGCTGAGGCTGCAGAACCTTGCATAGAACCATTCTATCTGGATCTATTTAATGGATAATATTATCATCATATGGTATACAATCTTAATAATAATATATAGGGCATATACTAATAATAATCTCTATTGATAGAATAACAATGCATTAGATATAAACGATATTCGATAGACGACTATATATAATACAACTAGCCCATATGTTAGCACTACCCTTGTTAATATAACCCCAGTAAGCTCTCTCGGAATCCAGCTCATACTCTCTCTACATTCCTTAGCATACCGCATCCACGCCGCTGACGAGTTCGCGACCCACTGTATAACTACGACCAGAAGCCTTCCCTCTTTCAAGCAAAGGCACGATGAGCAGCCTACCAGCCGCTTGACTGAACTTCCCCGTCCCGTCATTGCATGCTACCATCAGTGCTTGTGGTGGTCTCCTAAGGAAACGCGACGTCAACTACGACGACCAACCTCATCCACAACTACCCCGCCGACTGGGGCCGTTTATCGTTAGGGCTTCGAGCAAAAGCAGGGTGGACGATCACTGCACCCGGACTCCCACTAGCATCACCAAAAACAAGGCACGAGAGGTTACGTTCGAGATCCTAAGGGGAGTGCCTACATACGAGACCCAGCCATAAGGTGACTTACCGTTAGAGGCGCCCACGTTGCAGCATAACAGAATGTCTGGCAAAAAGTCTTGGCGTTAGGTATGAGGATGAACCTCTCGTCAAAAGTGGAATCAGCTGTGTTATTCAGGAGCACGGACATTGATCCAGCCTAGGTTTGGGGTAGGGATGATGGACTCAAATGAGGAGGAGGATGCCATCTTACATTATCCCGGTTCATGAATCGCGGACAGAAAAGGTTGCCATCTGCAGTAGTCAGATACTCCGCAAATCGTTCAGCATACTCTTTCTCCCACTAAGAGAACATTCCAATTACTCAAGTGGTTAGGAGCCTCCTTTCCATCGCCACCGACCCACGTTCAACACCCACACTCGTTATTTTTTTACCTTCATTCCCTGTGACTTCAAGTAAGCAAGTACATCATTCAAAGCTGCCCGAGTGGTCACATCCAAATCATCACTGACCACCGATGCCTCCGCGCCCGATGGTGTGCTTCGCTCCGCCTCTTTTTTCTCCCCACTGCCATCTTTCTCCTCTGCATCCGTCATCTCCACATCGTCCTTCTTCTCCTCTCCCTCCTCCACCTTCCCCTCCACTGCTGCATGCTCTGCAGTGGCGCCACCCTCAGCAAGGCCGGTCGACGCCTTACTATCAGCAGCATCCACAGACGCCTTCTTGCTTCCCTCTGATGCCATACTGAAATCGATAAGGTTCCACTGCACAGTCGTCCTTTCCCATGGTTGAGAATACTCACCTGATCAGGCAAGCTGCCACTTGCTCCCTCTTGCTGAAGAAGTCAGCTAAGAGCCACGTGCCGATCAGTCGCTGGCCGAGGTTCAGCAATGGGATGCTCAGCCCACGCTTGGTGAGAACTGTCAAAGCCATGAACCTGAAGAGAAAAAATGGCATAGCCAGGATTCGAACCCTCGACCTATCGTCCTAACTTGCGCTCTCACCTGTGCAGTTGGTCACAGTCGAGGGTCTCTGCAGTGGCCTCTGCAATGTCAGCACAGCCAGATATCTTCTGTGCAATCGTAGAGCTCCCACTGGCACCTCCCGATTGCCGTGGCACGCCTTGACTTTGTTGCTGTCCATTAGCGACATTCTGCTGGTGTTGTTGACCAGTAGCCATCCTGATCAAATACGCCGTGCCGTGTCCATTCTAATCCTCGAGGAGTGGTATGAATATAATAAACACACAGAAGAGAAAGACCTACCGCTGTTGTTGTAGCTGCCGCAGCTGTGCCAGCCTAAGCGCCTCACTGGTCCTATCAACCTAACATTTATCAAGCCGTTACGGTCAAGCCGAACGCAGTAGCTCCGATCACTTGTGTTGCCGCTTGATCTACACGTGTGGGAGCATACGCCTCCTCTGGCACCTTCGCGCCGGCCTTTGCAGCAATCTACAGCGGAGCGATGTTTCCGCATCAATTAGCCGCTGCACTTACTGCTAGCACATCCGAACAATACTCCTCGAACTTCTCCCTGTCCCTGATGAATAATCCACTTGAAAACTCCGACCAGGCCGAGAGGAACTGCATGCCAAAGGCCGCGTTCGGTGGCGGTTGAGTGGGTGCTGCTGACACCGACTGCGATGAACCTAACTCGACTTGCAGACACCCTCCTAGCGCCTAGACTAACCTGGCACTGCGGCGCCTTGACCATTGGCCGGAGGTGACGACCCCGTCGAGGCAGGGGTCTGATTCATAAGACTAAGCACTAAGAGAAGTAAGCGCTGTTATAACACAAGCCACTGATGTGCTCTCACGCTTCCTCATCGATCACGGGTGAGTAATAATCAGGAACATCCACTACACGATCGCCGACAGCGGCTATGGATGATAGCAGAGGCAATGGAAGGTCAGTAACAACATCAGTATTAAGACAAGCAATGATAATAAGAGTAACAAGTAGTAGCAGGAGGACTCAGGCAAGCGAATAGTGATATTCCTAATGTTTGATACCGGTGATAACTTCGATAGGAACCAGTACTCATCATCGGTAGAGCTGACTGCAGCAGCAGACGACAACGACGACGGGCAATAACAATAACAGAATTGATGAGGAAGTATAATGAGTTCATCACGATACTGCTATGATGATTTCTAGAGAGGAGGGGGGGACTAGACAGAAATACAACACAATTACGTTGAGCCAGTAGTAAGAGGTGAAGGGGCTCTGGTGAATACATAGGCTACTAGTACTACGAAGAAGAAGCAGGCTAAGCCACTATATGACTACTACAATCGAACTATCCATAACACCATGGTGACACTACTATAGTATAAGAAGAAGGGTGTCACCGGGTAGAGAACACACCGAGACTACCAACACCGACAGAGGCAAGCGGGGGAGATATGCGAGCCACATAGAACTGATATGATGATAATGATGGCAGTGTCGGTGAAGAAAGCAATAATAACCTCCTTGACGGTGGCGAGTAGTAAACTGATCACTTGCTATTCATAGCTTCAACCCTGCTGCAACAAGAGTCAATGTAGACTCAAGCGGGGATTAGCGTTGATAGATGGATGAAGGGATAAGACTGACGCTCCTACTTTTTAATAGGAGGACTACACCAGACACTATATGAAGAGCTTGGAGGCAGCATCAGTCAGCAACAACAGCTTCCTCTTCAGAGGTGATATCATCTAGTTGAGCATGGCCAGCACAGGAGTCCCGTCGTCCCTGCTCTCGGTCCTCGACTTCCTTCATACGCTGCAAGTTCGTCTCCATCACTTCAACTCTATCATGCAGACCGTCCAGTATACCATCAAGAGTATTCCACAGGGGACTCACGACGAAGTTGATGAACCCCACTTGCAGTTTAGCAAGCTCCACAGCGTCATCCGGGCGATGGGCCATAAACGGCGCGAAGGGAAGCCCCTCGAGCCTCTCAGCTTCCGCCTGGTGATAGTACTCGCTCACAACACGATAGCTCCACTCGTAGTACTCATCATAGGGCATAAGAGGGTTTGATATATCCGCAGCATGAACAATCCCCTTCAGCAGCGTCGGCCTAGTCTCAGCCAAAGCCCCATCGACCCACTCTCCTGCTGCCCTCTTAGAACCGTCATTGCGGTCTAAGAGTAACTCCTGTAGTTTAATAGTAATATCAAAGTGAGCCTTCATGTCCGTCGCCAGAATCACCGAGATCACCGTCTGTCGGAAAACCTCATAGTCGCTGGGCTCGCCAGTCTCATCAGCTGCTGCTGCTGCTGGCCAAGTTGCAGTAAAGTCAACAGCGCCACCCAGTAGGAGCTCAAAGGCTCGAGCAGCATGCATATTCTCCAACACAGCACTGTCGTTGTAGCGAACAGCCAGGTGCTTCCTACCCTTGATGAAGTAATCATTGTTGAAGCCCGGATGGTTAACATCGTGACATAGTGCAGCGATAAGCAGACTGAACTCCTCTAGGGGCGTACAGATGACGTCCCGAGGCCCCCCTGCAGGGCCGCCCGGGCGCACTGAGCACCCCGCATTGAACATGACGTAACCCACACAGCTCATAACCTGATAGGCGTGGTAGAAGTTGTGGTAAGGATTATCCGCATGATAATCGTTGGCGATGAGATTGATGAACCCCCAAAGCCTCGATGCTTCCACCAGTTTACCCTCCCCCACGAAACTCCACCTGTCGAATACACTGTAAGCTCGCCGGACCAGCTCAGAGCGGTCCAAGGTGAAGAGCTTGGTGTTCCAGCTGAGCAAATCTGGCAGCTCTAAAGCCTCCATTACGGGTACTTCCAACATCTTAGCAGTAAGCCTCGCTTCGTGGTAAGCCACCGAGTCACTGGCTCTTCTCGAGGCGCCGCTGATCGACCCTCTACCACTGCTGGTGCTGCTGCTGCCTCTGCCGCCTCCCATGCCAGGCCGCATCCACTGCTGAACGAACGCGTGCACACTGGGGTTCTCCTTCTCCAACTGTCTGGACACCCGTCGCAGTACAATGCTCCTTATAGCAGTACTAGTAAGGTCGTGGCTCAAACGATGGGACACATGCCTGGAGATGGCCAACTGTGGTGGTGGAGCTGGAGGGACCTGGTCCTCCTCCTCCTCGTCGTCATCATCATGATGCATGAACTCATCAGCCTGGTGGCAACTGTTAGCATAATCATTGTCTTCAACTGCACCATACCGCTCCGATGGGAGATTAGCTCGAATGTAGTCACACATGAACTGAGCAGGATCCCGAGGGGTGTGAGCTCCCAACTCAATGAGCATCATAGTAAGCAAGTTCTCGAGGTCATAACGCCTAAAGTAGGCCAACACATCTTCTGCACACACCTTCTGGCCCGTTCGGCTCTCCTCAGCCGCAGCCACAGCACAGGCAGCAACGACATCAGCTGTCGAGGGTGCCTCAGCTGAGGACATGGCCATGGACTCCGACCTCGGCGACTGGATAAACGGGGAAATAGTAGGAACGTCCGAAGAATCTTCCACTTCATCACTCAGTGTAGAGGCTGCCACTCCCACTCGGCGATCATAGTCGTCGGGACTTTTCGTAGTCGGTCTTAGGCTCATTGGATAGTAGACTTATGTTTCTGTACAGAATTGTAACCAACTTGAAAGGAAAACATTGAGGACCCTCTCACTAACGCAGTCGGATCGTCAGGAGAAACTCGGAAAACGACGACGAATGATGATGACAACGCTCCGCTATGATAAATACATTTCCATCAAAACAAACTACTCTTATCGCTTCTGTTCTGCCACCGCATGAGCCGGAGCGACAGGAGAGCTAACAAGACACGCGAGCCATACCACACTTCCGCCAAATCGCATATGCTACTACCTCCCTTGCTGCTGCACTTTGGCATCCGTAGCACTCGTAGCTGTGCCGTAATAGTAGTAGCTCCCACTGGCCTCCGACGGCCACTGCTGTTGTTGAGGCATCGACTGACTGCCGTAATGGCCATAGGGAGCCGACTGCGATGAGATGACACTAGAAGTGGTAGCAGCTGGAACACCTGGGACCACAGTAGTCGAGGAGGAGGAGAAAGAGGAGACTGCACTAGATGTTTGCGGGGCCACGGGAGAGCCCTGTATAACAGTAGCCTGTTGGCTGCTACCGGGACGGACCGATGAGACCGATGCAGCTACCACAGGGACTGGGTACTGTTGCTGCTGCTGCTGTTGCTGCTGTAGATCAGTCTGTGCTCCAGGGACCATATACGATGATCCCATCACATGTTGCGAGCCTATAGGTGATGGAGTCACCTGTTGTGGCGGTATACTGGTGATGAAATGCTCTTGTGCTGGTGCGTGTTGTACCGACATAGGAGAAGGCTGCTGCTGCTGTGGGGCATCGTGTGCGGATATAGGAGAGGACTGGTGGTCTACTGCTTCCCCTTGTACAGTCGTAGGGTACTGCTGCTGTTGGTGCTGCGGTACTCCCTGTACAGTGGTGGGGTACTGCTGCTGTTGGTGCTGCGGTACTCCCTGTACAGTTGTAGGGTACTGCTGCTGTTGGTGCTGCGGTACTCCCTGTACAGTGGTGGGGTACTGCTGCTGTTGGTGCTGCGGTACTCCCTGTACAGTTGTAGGGTACTGCTGCTGTTGGTGCTGCGGTACTCCCTGTACAGTTGTAGGGTACTGCTGCTGTTGGTGCTGCGGTACTCCCTGTACAGTGGTGGTGTACTGCTGCTGTTGCTGCTGCTGCTGTGGTACTCCCTGTACAGTTGTAGGGTACTGCTGCTGCTGTTGTTGTCCTTGCACAGGTACTGGAGGTTGTTGCTGTTGTTGGTGATAATAATCATAATAGTACTGCTGTTGCGGCCCTGTCGACCAAGCCTGTTGAGTAGTACCCTGCACTCCCAAAGCTGGAGGGATATACCCTTGTGGGAGTGTCTGATCTCCCCCGGCTGGTGTGAGTGCATCAAAGGCCTCGAATGCACTGCCAGCAGTAGTCTGCTGGCCTCCCCCAGGCGTGGTCCCCATCGCGAAAGGATTCACATTATCACCATTGCCATCTGCCTGCCGACCCCCATGGGCCTCGTTGCTCCCATACTGTGCAGCAGCCATCCCAGCCACCGCTACACCAGCAGCAGCTGGTCCCCACACGACAGGGCTGTCGAAAGATATCATGTCCGGCGGGGCCGCCGAGGCTTGCTGTGGTCCACCAGTGGAGAGGTCGTCGGGAAAGGTCGGCATTTGAGTACTATAAAACGCGTTCTCAGCGGCATCCATCTGCTGCTTGTAGTCGTTACGGTGGCCTATACGAGATGCCAGATCGGTAGGAGGCGGAACTTGAGGATTCTCATCCTCGCTCTGAAAAAGTGTTCCTCGGTCGAACCTATTCTGTATCCAACCAACTTGAACCTACAGATTCCTCCTCTTCCGAAGAGCTATCATCCTCTCCATCTTGCGCTCGAAGCAATGCCACTTGTTTCTGCATCTCTCGATACCTATCCAGACACTCTCATGCATCATTTCAGGATGAGTTCCAGGAAGTGTGGTACGAGTCTTACTCATCGTCATCCGTCTCATTGGCTTGTCTCTTCTCAGCCATTCGTCTCTCATAGTACCTATACACCCGTGCTAACTCCACAGCACTACCCTAGGTCTGCTACTGTCTGAGCCGGATAGCCTGCTCCCGCTTTCCTCGAGCCGTGTAGGCGTAGAACGGCACTGTATCAATGAGCAAATCCCATCTGTCTGGATATCTCGATGGGACTACTTTGAAATAATGCCCTTGGAATTTGAAAGCGTAACTGCATGGCAGTTGTTAGTAATGGTTATTGACAGAAGGCTCAGAGGCTACTACCTGAACTTGCCCGACTTTTGAACTTGCATGGTCTGTTCGTAACCATTCAAAACGACACGGTATTTATCACTGCGCCACGAGACGAAGAGATTCACTAGGTAGCTCTGAACGGAGTTCGCTTACTACTACTACTACTACTACTACTACTACTATTACTACTGCTACTACTACTACTACTACTATTACTACTGCTACTACTACTACTACTACTACTACTACTACTACCTGTCCGCCTATTTCGAATCGCCAAGTGTACCTGTATAACGGGCGTAGAGGTGACTGTTGGTAATGAGTACAGTAGTACTTGGTCTTTGAGCTGGATATGACCGATCCTACATCCTCGGTCTCGTAGGAGATCGCTGTTATCTCATCGTCAGCAGGAGGGGCGGTAGTTGGCGAAGACATCAGCTCTTAAACAATAACAAAATTACAACTTGACCCTAGGGAGTTTGCTGTCAGGATGAGACTTTTGAGGCACTCCAACACGACACAAGCGGATAGATAATTTCATGGCGCGCGTTCGGAGATACAGGTGGGCATTGCCAAGCAGACAGTGGAATCCACTGTAATACTGAGTGGAGGCTTACGAACCTTTTTCCTCTGTATCTTCCTCAGTCTTCCCCTTCCCCTCCTAAACGTCTTCTCCCATCAGCCTAGTCCGACCGGTCTCAGTTAAACTAAGAGAAACCGTCCTGTTGCAGCCGCATCCTGGGCATAATTTAATGCTTTACCCTCCGGAAACTGCGTTGTTTTGTTTCCCAGCCTGATCATGTCAGTTATCATAAAATGACGATCGCGCTCGCCATTCTAATCGATATTGAAACTTTCCAACTATTCCTTATTCTGGTTGTCAATATGAGACGTTGCCCTTGCATATTTGGTTTTTTTGTCCCGAATGGGCACCGAGATTCTGATAAGTACTCACAGCAGCGCGGCTGAATGCTTGCAGTCGATAAAATCGCTCTAAGATCCTCCTTAATGCGCTGCTTGTCGTTGCCTTACTATTGGCTGATGAAGGTAACGGGGTTGGGCAGTCGATGGATGGCAGCCTACGGTCTAAAGTTGTTCGTACAGCATCGTTTAGCATCAGCAATGCCCTCGAGGAGTCATAGTATGGGCTCCTCGAGTGCCTGTCTCCTAGGCATCAACAACGAAGTATTGTTTACCCTGCCGATGGTACTAGTACTGTGTTTAGTGGCAGTCCCATCCTTTAGACCCATCAGGGGTGGTGGTGGTGGTCTCCTATGGGTTCGAACTGTGGCAGTCGATTGTTGACTAATATCACCATTATTAGTATTTTCATGAATGCTAATTGGATACACCTGTCTCCATGTAGCCTGCGTGCCTCTTATAGTCGATGCTAATGGTAGTAGCTGTTGGGTGGACATGTCAGATCGGGCGTCAGTGTCGTCTTCCTAACATCTGTTCATTCTTCACCGAGATAAAGTTGCCTGTGTAGTGACCATGGATTTGCTGTATATAAACGTTTTTTGATGGTGGGTATTTTCTCCTTTTTTCATCAGAATAGTCGGGGTATATTATATTGATACTAAGTTTGACTTGTGTCCCCTGTCTCTCCAATGGACGATTCCGATGAGATCCCCTCAGTGGAGGCAGTTGAAGGTGCTGAAGAAGTACGGCCGGCTAAGAAGGCGAGGACCAACTGGAAGGAGTTGGCGGCGACAGCTAAGCCTAATCCTAATGAAGGCGGTGGGCTCTTCGAGGTAGGCATGGGAATCTTTCTTAGCGGAGCGATGCACTTTTTTATTCGCAGTTCACTGGTCTAATGCCCCATCTGTCGGCAACAGCATGCGCTGCGACTACCGAGTATGTCGTTGGGATGGGCTCTCGTTATTGTCACGGGTGTGGCAGCTTATTGGCGAGGCATAAGATTGGGGTTAGGGGAAGTATGAGACCGGTAGGAGATCCCCGGTTCGATCCCTGGTGAGCGCACCGATGTGGTAATTATTAATTTCTCAGCGGCCTGGGAATGTCGAGCAATTCTTATCGATTTTCTGTCGACTGAGGAACGCTCGGGTGACGGTGATGGCCTTGGCGCTGGGGGAGCTGGTGAAGGGAAAAGACGCGCACAAGGTTCTGGAGGAAGTCAAACGGCAACTGTCCGAGGTGTCCCGGCAAGTTGAAGATTTGCCTGACAGTATGATGTGTTCATGCGTGCAATCTAATTCTGGTTTGATTCAGCGAATTCTAAGCCGCGGCTCATGAGTGCCCTAAAGGAAGCCTTGGGGCCTCTGGAAGAGATACCGGCTAAGAGAGAGCGGCCCGAAGGGGCAGAGGAGGAGGTGGAGGAGGAACAGCATGTTGACATGGTGTGTGTGAAGAAGTCTATTGAGGTCGCTATGAATCTCGATGGAGCGTACTTCTGGATGTACTATATGTGCACTATGGTAAGGGTGTTTGGTATCGGGAGGAGATGATAAGAAGTTGTTGTGTGTTAGTCGTTTGAGCACGGCCATAGGGTTCCCTCTGGGGGGTCGTCCTTGGCCTTGCCGCCGCCGTTGGAGTATTACTCTGTGTGGTGTCTTCTGGCCGAGGAAGATGTTGACAGGCAGGAGAAGGTGGGCTCGGTATTGAGTGGATGGGATGAGAAAAAACGAAGGCACTTGGGGGAGGCGGAGCGAAGCATTATTGATGAAGCTACCCGTAAGTGGTAATCATAGTTGTGAATGTGAATATTCACTTTGGGAATGTCGAAAATATATTCGTTTTGGAGGGGGGCCGCCAGTGTTGGAGGAATAGATGCTCGCCTTCCTCAGCTGAGCTCAGGAGTTTTCTCGCTGATTATGGAGCTAGAAGTATAGAAAAACCGATGGGAATTCCTCCAAAATTTCCTCAGAATTTTCATATTGTCATCAACACATGTAGTTGACCCTGTGCATACTTTTTCATTTTCTCCCGATGTACGAGTTGAATTCTCAAACTGGTCGTATATTTGACTTTTGTTGTTGTTGGCGCTTAGTAAGTGTCGATGTTGTAGGTATCCTCGATGGCCCCTCTTTCGACACTACTGCCTGTAAGAACCCACTCTACTCTATACAGTGTATCCGCTGGGTAGAGTCTCAGCGTGTATCGCATGCCCTACTAGAGGGAGGCAAAGTGGATACGTGGGATGCCCTGGTGAGAGGTCCATGAGGTGCTTGCTTGGACTGGCGGTGTAGGTACCATGTGGGATGGGCACAAGGGCGGAGGAGACGCAGACGTTGAAGCAGGGGGATCCGCTGATGCCTAGCAAGGTAATGGAATGGGGTATTCATGGCTATGCCCATCATCAGCTCAGATTCTCTCGGACTGGGTCGATTCGACGAGAGACTATATGTGCCATATGTAATAAAGCCAGCTTCGCTCCGCTAGCGAATGAAAAAATAGATACGCCTATGCAACACCTACGGAGTCTGCTCTAGAGCTCCTGTCGAGCTTTGTTCCAGGTGGGGTCGTTGAGGTCGGCAGTGGTACCGGGTATTGGGCCAAGCTGTTGAGGGATCGAAATGTGAGGCGTCTTGTTGCGGTTGAGATGGTATGATCCTTTTCGTAAGGTGAAAGTATTGGCCTTGGATAAGAACCCACCGGATCACCAAGCCAATGCTTACCATGGCCGATGCAGACCACACACTGAAGTGAAGAAGGGTGTAAGTCGCCCGCTCTGTCGTGGTTGATATTTGGGGTTGTTTTGCCAGAACGCCGCGGATCTGCAGTCGTTGTCAGCAGAGGAGTACCCTAAGCTCATGCTGTGCTACCCGCCACCTCAGGAGCATATGGCGGCTGAGGCGGTAAGAGGCGGTGACGGACTGGACTGTTGGTGGTGATACTGGACTGTCAGATTGGTAACTTCAAGGGAGACTATGTGTATCATATTGGGGAGTGGTTTGGTGACACGGGGACGCTAGCGATGCAGAAGGCCCTTGGTCAAGGGTTTAGGATGATCAGAAGGGAACCGCTACCGAACTGGCCCAGTGGGACTATTGGTTATTATTCCCATTGGAGTGGTAGGGTACGTTATCAGGCACCAGCTATGAGATGACTATATGGAAAAGAAGGTCGAATAAGGATGACGATAAAGGGGAGAACGCCTTACCGGCTGTTGCATGTGGGTGAAATTTTCAGTCAAATTTCGCAACCCGTTTTACGTGAATTGGCGTGAATACTCTTGTGAGAACAGCCCGATAGTTGCGGTATGTAGGAATATGTTTTTCACTAGTGTTTTTCATATCACGGGTAAACCTGTACTGGTATGGGACGTAGCGGTCTACAGGTTCCCATTGTGGCAGGAAGGCTCAGGTCAGATGCCGTGTTACTTGTGAGATAGCGTAATGTTGGGGATGGTGTGGTATTGGTGTATGTGGATGCTGCATTAGGTATTGTAATAAGGAAGAATGTCTCGATGCCCATAGGAGTAGACACCGGACGCTGATGGCTTTCAAAATGGTAAGAATTTTGGTTTTGTACCTGTAGGGTATTCCCCGGCAATTTCGGCCCTCCACCTTTGTAGTTGAACTCATTACCCTTGTGGTTAATACTTTATCCGTGGTCTTAATAAAATCCCCTATGAAGGCTAATGTTATACCCGGTCTACTTGAAAGCTTAGGAGGTTAGTTTAACCGAGGACGCGCGTAGAATATCAACTAGATGGGTAAAAAGTGAAAATTATCGGTGAAAAAAATGGAAATTCTGTAGATTTTCTCTCGAGAGGGTATTCCCAACTACTACAGGAAGTTGCTATTGAATGTATTTCCATAGGGGCTGTTCCGGCATGCTCCTTCTCTGTGATAAACGCTCCTGTTTATATCGGAATCGTCAATTGCATTTCCTGGTCTCCTTCGGGAATCGACTTTCGTTTACCTTCTAGGTGCCGGTACACAAGAAGCTGATGAGTAGTTTGAAGCTGAGCAATAAGCAAGCACTGCGAAAGCTCAGACGGCGATGAGGGACGTTCTTTTGCCGTTTTACTATGGGGTTTCTGATAAGGGATACCCTAACGTCAAAAGTAGATAGAGATGTCTTAGTAGATGTACACTGTTGTTTCCTTGGAGTTGGTAGTCTGGTGTTGAGGGGGCGAAATTATGGTAAGTGTTAGCAGTCCCTATGGCCACTTCCACCGAATCAGCTAATAAGAAAGCTAAGGTGATGCCCAAACAAATAGAAGAGTTGGCTATTGATACCATCAGGTGAGATAGGAATTGGTCGAGGAGTGGTATGATTGTCTTTTATTAGGATTACGGCGGCTGATATGGTTCAGAAGGCGAAGTCGGGCCATCCGGGTGCCCCGATGGGATGTGCCCCCATTGGCCATGCTCTCTACGCTCACGTTATGAAGTACAACGCCAGCAATCCCCACTGGTGGAATAGGGATCGATTCGTGTTGTCTAACGGCCACGCCTGTGCTCTGCAGTACGTCCTTATGCACCTTGCTGGTTACAAGGATGTCGGGGTGGAGCACCTCAAGAACTTCCGTCAGTTGGGCTCGAGGACGGCTGGTCATCCTGAGCGACATTTGTTGGAGGGAGTGGAGGTCAGTACTGGCCCTTTGGGGCAGGGCATCTCGAATGCTGTTGGCCTTGCTATTGCTGGGGCCCATCTGGCGGCGACTTATAACCGTCCTGATGGGTACGAGGTCTTCAACAACTACACTTTTGCTGTGTGTGGTGATGGGTGTTTGGAGGAAGGGGTCAGCTCGGAAGCCTGTGCACTTGCTGGTCATCTGGGGCTTGGGCGCCTCATTGTACTCTATGATGATAATAAGATTACTATTGATGGTAGGACTGATATTGCCTTTACAGAGGATGTCACTAAAAGGTTCGAGGGCATGCACTGGCAGGTCCTTGAGGTCGCTAAGGGTGATAGCGATGTGGCTGATATAATAGCCAAGATTGAGGAAGCCAAGAAGTGTACGGATAAGCCTACCATTATCAAGGTCCATACTACGATCGGGTACGGCTCGGCTAAGCAGGGCACTGCTAAGGTCCATGGGGCCCCTCTGGGTGACGAAGACCTGGCCAATGTTAAGAAGGAGTTTGGCTTCGACCCTGAGAAGTTCTTCGAGATCCCCGCTGAAGTTAGGGCTTTCTATGGAGCCGTCTTGGCTCGCGGCCAGCAGGCTAATAAGGAGTGGGATGCTCTATTTGCCAAGTACGGTCAGGCATATCCTGCTGAGCATGCGGAGCTCATAAGGCGTGCTAAGGGTGACCTTCCTCACGATGTGGACAGCTTCTTCCCGAAGTACCAACCTGGGGACAAGGCCAAGGCCACACGTGTGACCAGTGGGGAGGTCCTCGCTGCCCTCATGAAGCACCTTCCGGAGATCATTGGGGGCTCGGCGGACCTGACCTCCTCTAACATGACCAACATGGGTAACTTCCCTAGTATGCAACGTGGGGCTATGCAGAACCGCTATATTGAGTTTGGGGTCCGCGAGCACGGCATGGCCGCTATGCTCAATGGCATTCACGCCTATGGGGGCTTCCTGCCCTTTGGGGCTACCTTTGTCAACTTTATAGGTTACTGTTGGGGTGGTATGAGGCTCTCGTGCTTGTCGGAACAACAGGTCCTCTATGTTATGACTCATGATTCCATTGACCTTGGGGAGGATGGCCCTACCCATCAGCCCATCGAGATCCTGGCCCTGCTGCGTGCTACGCCCAATATGAGTACGATCAGACCATGTGATGGTCGCGAGACTGTGGGGGCTTACAAGTCCTATCTTGCTAATAAGAACGGTCCGACTACGCTTATTCTCAGCCGCTCTGGTTTGCCTACCTTTGATCATTCCTCTGCTGAGGGGGCTATGAAGGGTGCCTATGTGATAGACGATTTCACGGGCAGCAGTGACCAGAAGGTCATCATCATCGCTAGTGGCACGGAGGTCCTTCAGGCAGTGGAAGCTAAGAAACTTTTGACGGAGGAAGGTGTTGATGCCCGAGTTGTGTCGATGCCGTCATGGAACCTCTTCGAAAAGCAAGGGGAAGCCTATAAGAAGACTGTCCTTCCACAGGGGGTAAAACGCCTGATGGTTGAGGCCAGCAGCCCTTTGGGGTTCGAAAGGTATGCTGATGAGTGGATCGCCATGACTACCTTTGGGGCTTCTGGGCCTGCCAATAAGGTGAAGGCACATTTTGGGTTCACGGCTGAAAATATCTGTATTAGAGCTAAAAGGCTTCTTGCGGCCTCTACATGAAGGCGACGGTTATTGGGAAGAAAGTACCTTGTCGAGTACTGCTGAAAATCTCATCTATTACTATCACTACTAGGAGTTTGATTCATAGGCTAAAAGCATTTAATGTTATTCTCACCGTAGGAGGTCGTATTTGTTCGGAAAGGCTGGGCTGAGGGTCCCTCTGTGCAGTTGCTGTTGCTGTTGTTGTTTCCTGATGTGTGCTGATAATACTACTACTGCTACTGAATCGGCATATGACTTATTTGTCAATGATTCGGCGACTTGTGATGTTTGTGAGAAGCTCATTGTCTATCTGAGGGCTGTTTCTGGCAAGGTGAGTTGCAGTCGCCGAGAATTGAACCCGGGTTGTCCTCGGCAATGCATGCCCTTTGTCCATTATAACGTTGAACACTGTGTGACTCAGGCTTCCAGTTTTACGGGTAGTACAATTCGTGCTAGCACTAAGCCGGGTAACTCGGTCCTTTCTGCCGCATTTGGTCAACGACTGCCGGTCTATGCCAGTCAGAAAAGGGAGGAGTCTTTTGAGGGCGCCCTGAAGGTAAGTTGACATGCCTAGTGCGGTGTGATGCCTTTGTGTTGGGCTCAGGTTTTGAAGGCAATTGCTGAGGACTCTGGTTTTGGAGCCCTTTTAATCCCTGAGGGCAGCGAGGCCCTCAAGTGGGTTGAGTGGTGCCTCAACGAGAGCGAGGGGGCATTCAAGCTCACCAAGGAAGGTGTGGAGAAGCTCAATAAGGCTCTCGAGGATCGGGTAGGCCCCGCTGGCTTCAAGGTCGGGGTAAGTCATTATTTGCTACCGTTCAGGCATTCTTGCTCGGTGGTAGCAATATCACGCTCGCTGACTTTGTAGTAGCTCATGCGGCTGAGCGATGGGCCTCTAAGGCCTCACAGAAGGAGCTTGCCCAGTACTGCAACATCACTAGGTGATGATGGTATTGGATTCTGGCACGTGTTTTAGTTTTTTGGGGCAGGTGGTATCACCATATCAGTAGCTTGCCGGGCAGCCCTTACCCCGACAGTGTTATAGACCTTCATGCTGTGACGCGGGCTTATACTAATCTTCATAAGGCCGACGCTACTGCTGCTGCTGAGGGCAAGGGGGGCAAGGGCTCACCTAAGAAGGGTAAGCGTCTGTTCATGTGACGCTGGAGTGTATGAAGAGGGCCAGATGTTATCTATAGGCTTAGTTGACCATTGATAAGATGATAATGAGGAAAATTTAGGAAAATTTTGTTTTACAACGATTATATGTGGAAACTCCTGAGAGGACCAGATGTATATGCCTACACTGGTTTCAGGAGAGGCTGATGAGGCTGGGAAGAAGAAGGCGGAGAGGAAGGCGAAGAATAAGGATAAGCAAGCTAAGGCACAGAAGGAGACCCGACCTGTAGAGGATGTCAGCCGATTGAATATGATTGTTGGTAAGAAATGCCCTCGGGTGGAATTGAACCGTAGGTCTATCGTTAAGCTGTGCTCTCAGGTAAGATCAATAAGGTATGGGAACATCCTGATGCTGAGAAGCTGTGGTGTGAGGAGATTGACTGTGGTGAAGCTTCCGGTGAGTGTCGGCCGAACGACTTATAGAAACTCACATAAAGCGAATCAAGCAGTGGCCCACATACCATCCATCTCTGAAATTGTCCGCCGGGCGTTTTCAATCCTTGATGAACTTTGAGACTGTTTCTTGTCATTACTATCAGGTCCCCGTCAGATCGCATCAGGCCTTCGTGATTTCTATAAGGAAGCCTCGGATCTCGAGGGTCGTAAAGTAGTCATCTTGGCTAACCTCAAGCCCCGACCTCTGCGTGGATTCGTCTCCCATGGTATGGTCATGTGCGCATCTAGCGGTGACCACAGCCAAGTGGAAGTGTTGACCGTCCCTGAGGATGCTAAGCCTGGTAAGCGTGGTTCTGCTCTATGCGACGATGTGGATTCGTTATGGTCAGGTGAGCGCATCTCGATCCCGGGCTTTGACGGTGAGCCTGATGATGTCCTGCATCCTAAGCACAACCCTTTCGATGCGGTCAAGGGTAAGCCAATCTTGCTATCTTGTATTTCCGCAACGCGGTTGGTCAGGTGACTTGAAGACTGTTAAGAAGGAGGATGGTGTGATCGTGGCCACTTATAAGGTGAGTCTAAATGTTCTTCTGTCGGCTGACCGGCATCGTCGTCTTTTTAGGGCAATGCGTTTACACTTCCCAACGGTGAGATCATCACCACTCCCAGCCTTGCCGATTGCGAGATTTCCTAAGTGCTCAGTAGCTCATCAAATTTACGAGGTTCACGATCAGTGTAAATATTACTTAACTTGCTGCCAGCGGTGGAACGCACACCTGCCAACAGTTTCCCTACGATAGCCTCTCTCGTGTGCTTGTGTTGAGCAGTCTGTTGTAGTGGAGCTATGGAAGGCGTTGGGGGACTAGTAGGGGTATTGGATATTTTTACTACAGCGCACTCCCTTCCTATGGTTGAGGTCAGCCCTGTAAGTGGTGGTATCGTATTGTGGCAAGGCTAATAGGCGTGACATAGCGGATGTGTGACCGGTGCTTGCGATCTCTTTGTCGTCGAATACCGACTGGATTGTCTATTTATCGTGCTCTCCTTGAGGGTGGCAGCTTCTTATACCTTGGTTGAATGTGTTGCGTGTGTATAGTGGGTTGGTGGGCTAGGCCATCGCCGGTCGATGGGAACTCATCGTAGAGCTTAACAGCATCTTACAATGGTGTTCACGCGATAATGTATCGATCATAAAGGCAACTCATCCATTTTATCGACTACAGAAATGAGGTTTGATCAAAAAGTCCTTCTGAGCGACTCCATGTTCGTTCGTGAGCTTCCGATCGAACTGCAAACCGTCTATGGGATACGACGACAATGGAAGCTGACGTATCCATCAATGCGACTCGACGTGTGAGATCCCATACCTTAGAGTGGCCCCCATCAAGAAAGCGATATGTATCTACTCAATCTACTATATGGTGCGTAAAAGCATCTGAACGCCGCGCTCGCCGACGAATCTTCCGAGAATCTCCCAGTTTCGGTCACTGCGAAACGTTCAACCATAAGACTCGGCTGTGTTCCTATCCGACAGGTTGTTATGAACTATGTTAACGTACAGAACGCGCTGTGGCTACAGCTTGCAACTTGCGTATTTACAGCATGTCTGTCCTCCTTATCTCAGCCCTATGCGGGGTTCTGATCTTCACCCCTACTGGTGGTCAGTCTACCACTAATCCAGCGACTGTCGGCAGTAGCACTACTACTTCTATCTCTTCAACGGTCGTCACTACTACTGGACAGTCTACCACTGCTCCAGCTACAATCGGCAGTAGCACTGTCACTCCCGCATCCTCAACAACCGTCACTACTGCGGTGACTACACCGGCTACTACTACGGTCAGCGAGGATGTGGTGATGCGTACTTGTGACGTTTATTGCCGAGGCCTCAATGGTCCCGAGTCGTTCTGTAAGAACTGGTTAGATGATGCTGTGTGCCAGGGTGGTAACCAACCCTGTGGAACTCTTGACGTATGCGGGCCAGCAGTGTCGACTGGTACAACGTTCCATCCACGATGCGATGAGATGTGTCAGAGTCTGAACGATGTTACTTCCTACTGCAAGTGGTGGATGGACATTCCTGTCTGTCAAGGTGGTGATCAGCCATGTGGTGACGTGTCCATCTGCACAGCACAGACTTGGCCGCCTGCAAGCACTCCTCCTTTCATCAACGGTCCTCATCAGTATCATTCCCCGACCTGTGATACGTACTGCCAAGGTCTCAATGACGAGGGTTCTTATTGCAAGTGGTGGGCGGCCGAGCCTGTGTGTCAGGGAGGTAACCAGGCGTGCACTCCTGACGTTTGTGGTGTCGGAGAGGCTACACCTGCAACCACTACGGATACCTTCCATATGGGCCAGAACGCCAATTGCGACGCTTATTGTGAGGATATAAACCCCGAGATGATTTTAGAGAAGTCTCACTGCAAGTGGTGGCTCCATATCGCCGTTTGCCACCAGGGTGATCAAGTATGCACTCCTAGTGTGTGTGAGAATTATACTCCGTCTCCATGATGCTATATCTCATGTATATGATGCTCAACCAATAATGGTTTATGTAGATTATATATCGTGTGCTCGTCCATCCGGGTCTTGTGTTATTGGGTGGTCGGAGCAACGATGGCGGGTAACAATGTGATGACTTTGCCGTGTCGATAGTGGGAGTATATGAGACCTTCAGGAAGACATCACCCTGGTGAGGAATGAAAGGAGTCGCGTTAATTAATATACCGTCAAATAATCAAATATAATCACTACCGAAATAACTGGACAGAATACTGAGCAAATTGTTCTATCTGCAGTGGCAGCACCAGCGCGATAAATGAACCTTCTTCTTGTTAATGCCATGATTAAGGAGATTTTACTGTTATCACTGTTGTGTCATAATAGGGGGGAGATTTTGAAATCGTGATATGGAGTAATTCCTTAGCACCACAACCTAAGCCTAATGATAACTCGTCAAGTACGAGTTATCTGGGAATAACCAATTGATCGTCAACCAGTTATCTATATTAGGGAGGACGGGTAATCGCTTCAAAGGGTACATTTGATAGCCTGTGATCGGCTCTGAATACGTAGCGTCTCGTCTATACGTGGCCCAACTAGCAACACAGCTTGTTTTTTGCCGGGCATTTCAAGGATAAAGCTTATCAATGTCAAATACAATCCGCGCAAGTGGATCGTGGGCAGTCCCTTGTGCAAAAAAAAATGATTCTCGCTCCGAGGCGTGCGCGAATTGCATAAGCGGAGCGAAGTGATTCACGAATGCTACTTTAATGAATAGATGTTATAGCTACTGTACATAGTGTGGAGCGGTCCTGGGCTAGTTGAAGGAAATTAGTAATGTTGGGGTGTCGCGTTGGAAGTGAATCCTTGAAGAGGATGTTTCTCATGAGAGAATTTGGAATTGGTATGGTCAATGAAGGTCGACTAGAGAGAGCGATTAACTCAGTTCCCATAGAGAGTTCCTTTAACAATGCCGATTGACGTTAACAGACTTCGCGCGGAAAAGGGCGGCGACCCGGAGGCTGTGCGAGCTTCCGAGCAGAAGAGGTGATGTGGTAAAGAAGATAGGTTTATACGAGACGGGTTATAGGTATCGTAATTCTGATACTGTGGGCACCGCCGTGAAACTCGATCAGCAGTGGCGTAAGGATATGTTCGCACTGGACAAGCTCCGTGAGGAACTAGGCAAGGTATCTTGAGGATCACTATGAAAGATTCAGAATAGGTCCAATTGTTGTCGTTATGTTCAGATCCAAAAGGAGATCACTCAGAAGAAGAAGGCCTCTAAGGGTAAGGATCCTTGCACTGAGGAGCTCGCTCGCAAGGCCGAGGGTGAGAAGAAAATCCAGGAGCAGGAAAAACTCGTAGCTGAAGTCGCCAAGTCGCGTGATGCTGTAACTACCCAGAATAGTTCTATACGGTTTAAGAGAGTATTCTTGTCCAGGCCGTGCACTCTATTGGTAATATCATCCTTCCTGACGTCCCTGTCAGCAACGATGAGGATAACAATGAAGTCTACAAGAAGTGGGGTCAGCCCAGGTACTACTATCACGAAAATTATTTCAGTGGGAGATTTCCCTTGTAGGCAAATTTTCGTCGATGGGAAGACTCCTGGTCACCTCTACCATCACCAGATCATGTACATGCTCGGTGCTATGGACCAGGAGCGCGGCATCAACATCGTTGGTCATCGTGGATACTTCCTCCGTGGTGTTGGCGTACTCCTTAATATGGCCCTTATTAACTACGGTATGAGCTTACTTGTTAAGAAGTAATACAATCCTTTTGCGTGACTATAAGGAGTCCTTTCCCTCGTAGGGGTTATACCGCACTCCAGCCTCCTTTCTTCATGAAGAAGGACATCATGGCTGAGACCGCCGAGCTGGGCGACTTCGATGAGCAGCTCTACAAGGTAGTGTTGCCGTCTAGCTGTGGGATATCCAAGTTGATGTATAGGTGAGTGAGAACTCCCAGCAGAAAAAGGAGGAGAAGGGCCTCAAGGAGAACGATGGAGAGTACTATCTCATCGCAACTTCAGAGCAGCCTATTTCGGCCTACCATCGCAAGGAGTGGATTGACGAGGATCAGCTCCCCTTACGTTATGCTGGGTAATGAGGACTTCTATTGTGGTGGATGTAGTAGTTTGTGGTGGTTGTGTAGTATCTCCACGTGTTTCCGAAAGGAGGCGGGTTCTCACGGCAAGGAGACCTGGGGCTTGTACCGAATTCATCAGTTTGAGAAGTTGGAACAGTTCTGTATTACCACTCCTGAGGAAAGTGTTGCTATGCATGAGCATATGCTCGGTAATAGTAATACGGCTGAGCCACTATGGAGAGGTCCTTTTTAGACATGTCTGAGGAGTTCTATCAGTCCCTTGATTTGCCCTATAGGGTCGTCAAGATTGTCTCTGGTGCTCTCAACGATGCCGCTGCTAAGAAGTGACGACCATAGTCGGTACCTGTTCAGTGTTATCATCGTAATAGGTACGATCTCGAGGCCTGGTTCCCTGGGTATAACATGTACAAGGAACTCGTGTCCTGCTCTAACTGCACAGACTATCAGGCCCGTGCGATGGAGACACGTTGTGGCCATGTGAAGCAGGGCGAGCGCGAGAAGCGATATGTAGGTGGAAGAGGAGTTGAAGAAGGTGTGGTATCCGCCCTTAACAGGTTCATATGTTGAACTCGACACTTTGTGCTACTGAGCGTGCTATGTGCTGTATAGTTGAGAACTACCAGGAAGAAGAGGGCGTCAGAGTTCCCAGAGTTTTGGTATGCTATCTTAAAAGGTGGTCGTTGCTCGGTTATTGTGGTTTCTATCAGGTGCCCTATATGCACGGTATGGAGTTCCTACCCTATGTGAAGCCCATCCCTAAGAACCCCGATGAGGCCAAGAAGGTAGGATTATAAGCAGTGTTGGAGGAATATATGTTCACTTTTCGCACCTGAGCTCAGCAGTTTATACAAGAATACGGGTAGAAATATACCAAAATTTCGTCAGAATTTCCATATTGTCACCAACATGTGATTATGCGTATTTCCCCCACGACGGAGTGGACGACTTTGTTGTTGTTTCAGGCCGAGAAGAAGTAGTAGGAGTATCATAACATTCCTGTTGCTGCAGTTACTGCCCGCCTTGTATGACTACTGTTTCAACGCCTTGACAGGCTAAGTTCATCACACTCAGTTTGCCTAGCGTTTATCAGTGATCCTAAGTGGTCAGGGTGGAGGGTCAAGATTAGAATACTAGGGGTAGTTGAATTCCTACTACTATAAATATGCTGCGTTCGCTGGCTCTGCAATTTCTTCTCCTGTTGGTACTTGTAGTAGTCGACGTACAGGCCTGGTCAATACCATGGTTTGGGACTAAGAAGGTATGAGTTGAAGTCTTGGGGGGACATGATGGTGTTGTGTCGGCTCAGAGAGCTCTGGGGGAGGTAGCGGAGTTGGACGAAGTGTCACTGGATGAGCTCCTAGTGACGGAGACTATCAGTGCTGTCCTCTTCTATGCACCGTGGAGCCCCTATTCTCAACAGGTGAGTTCAATACTACTACTACTACTACTACTACTACTACTACTACTACTACTACTACTACTAGCGGTGTGGGAATATATATCTTTGGTTTCCTCAACTGAGCTCGTAAGTTTACTTGCTACATTATGAAAATCCACATACGATTTAGGTTAGAAGTACACAAATAGCAACGATAATTTCCTAAACTTTCCTCAGAATTTCCATATTGTTACCAACATATGTAGTTGACCATGTTCATATATATTTTCACGCTGACTACTACTAGAGTGTGTAATGCATGTACGTAGGCCCTTCCTATGTGGGAGGTCGTGGCTGAGAAGTTGGCCTTGAGTAACCCTCCTATTCCTGTAGGGCAAATTGATGCATCCAAGTACCCTGAGGTAGTAGTAGTTGTTATAATAACATCAATTATGTTATAGTCGAATTTCATGTAAATGCAATTTTCTCTTGAGGGAAAGGTGCGCCTGGCATAAGTCAAAAATACGGTATAAATGAAAAAGAGTATACGTAGGGGGACACCAAGAAGGTTGATATAAATACATTGTATGAATCTCTATTATCATTTTAAAAGGGGAATATAGTAGTATATGAGGAGTATGTATATTGGAGTTTCGCTCTAGTGATGTGAAAAACACTAGTGAAACATATATTTCACGACTACTGCATATCACCGCGAATATCGCATTTTTCACAGAGTATTACGCCACTTCACATAAAGGAAAGAAACTCCATTAAACGCCATCAGACTGAAATCCTCATGGTATCTTGAGCAACATAAGGGCACGTCATAATGGGCGCATGTGCAGCTGTGTGCTCGCAGTATCCTACCCTGGTCTAGACATATGAGGATAGCTCATCGTCGTAGTTGATATGGACTTTCTCCCTTGTTATTCGAGCAGGTCCGAGTGAAGCACGAGATCCGCGCTAATCCGACAATAAAGTTGTTCATAGACGAGGAAGCCTTCGAGTTCCCGTTGGAGGAGGAGAGGACGTAGGGTGGAGCCTATAAGTCCTCGTGTCACAGCTACTCTTCTTCCTCCTCTTCACAGGTGGGCTAATATAGTAAATTGGATCAACGAGAGAACGAATAGAGAGCAAGTCGTGTCTGATGCAGAGGAGATGGACGTTTTCCTGGACGAGAACCCTCTGGCAATCGTCGGCCTATTCATTTCTGAAAGAGATTCTGAAATGTATTATCGTGGATCCGATTGGTATAGACTTTGATAGTCGCAGGTTCAAGAAGACCTCTCGTCATTTCGATGATGTTTCCTTCGCCGTAACGTACGGTAGTAACTCCCGTGAGATGGCCCAGTACTTGGTGAAGCAGGGGTAGTAGTGATATAATGGGAGTATGTATAGTGCGCTCAACTGTCGGTGTTGGTGACTAGATGTCCTCGAAGAAATGGCGGACCTCGCTAGGTGCCAGGTGTTTACTCAACTTCTAGATGGTCTGCTCGGCTCTTTGGTGCGGGAAAGGTCTCCGGTTCGAATCCCAGGTCGGATATTCTTCATACGAACAAGTTTTTCTGTACACATATCGTTAGGGAGGCATCACATTAGGATTTTCTGATTTTTGCGACAACGGCCGTCCATTGAGTCCCCGATTGAATATCCAGCCGTGTTGGAGTATAGTCATCCTTCCGTGCTGGAGGGAAATGATGTGCATACGCGTACCCTTGAAATGGTCTGAATTGCAATACGTAGTTGCGGACGCTCACGCGAGGAAAAACCTGGTAGGGGCACTTAACTGGCCTCAGCTGAGGAATCAAACATATATCCCAAAACTGTGGTATGCCCTATTTCGACGTCAGGAAAATCGAGAGAATGCCCACGAGGTTCCCAACGTTGGTGATGCTCTATCACCACGACGAGAAGGCCGCGATCTACGACGGTGATATGGGCGACTATCACAAAGTATGCGGAAAACGGCAGTAGTGTTGGTGGTAAAGAGTTGGTGGTCTATCAGGTTGATCAGTTCATCCTTTCTCGTCGTGTACCGATGGTTACAGAGCTCTCAGCAGAGACTGCTGATCAAGTAATGCGAAGTGCCGGGATCGAACCCACGACCATTCGATGGACGTAGTGTTGTGTAGATATTCTCGAGTGGTATGCCTACGATATTCCTCTTCCGTGACCCTGAGTCGGAAGTGGGCCAGAAAGCTGAGGCCGCTTTGAGGGAGGCAAGCACTACCCTAAGAGGTAACACCAATCGCCGTTGAGATCGTCTACAGAGTACCTTGAGATGAGGATCAATCACTCTGCTATGCATACGTATTCCATGTCTTCTCGAAAAGTTTTATATATAAAGTCTTTTGGTCAAGTTGAGAATCTCGACTGAACAAATTTTACCTCTTCTGCTGTGAAATCATTCGACAGGTCTGGACTCGCACATGTTGTAATATTGGGCATACAGGTTCAGTCGTCTTCGCTCTGGCTAGCGATAAGAACAACGCCATCCAGCAACAGTTGTTCCACGAGCTCTCACTTGAGAACGTAATAACCTCTACCTGGAGCCTCCAGCTTGTGAGTATTTCTTTAGTTGGAACCGTCGGATTTCCCTACCACACGTTTGGTTTATCGCTCCACTCGTTCCCATCAACATCGGCAGTACATGGACGTAAAGGCGCGGAAATATCGTATTGATGCTGGATACGGTGCACGGACATGCCCACCAGGTAAGAGCCTCGATACCGTAACTTGGTCGCATCGTATCAATTCAGTTACCTCTCCTGACCATTACCGCTCCTTCGCCCATCAGTACATCAAAGGGATGATCAACCCCTACAAGCGGTCAGAACCCCTGCCCGTCTACTATGGCAACGAGCCAGTCGTGCAGGTGGGTCCTTGGCTCGGTCACTGTGTGTGAGTGTACAGCCTCAGGCGGTCGGTAGCAACTTCCAAGAGCTCGTCCTCGACTCCCCTCAAGATGTCCTTGTTGACTTCTACGCACCATGGTGTGGTCATTGCAGACAGTTCGAGCCCACTTATAAATCTCTGGGGGAGACTCTCAAGCCTTTGAGGAATACGTAGGCTTCCACTTCAGGCATCACTGTTGCTATTATGCACTACTTGCCAGATTGCGAGTTGTGAAAATAGATGCGACACAAAACGAGGTCCCAGTGCAGATCAGTGGATTCCCCACTATACTGCTATACCCAGCTGGTGAGCTCTTCATATGATGTCGCTCAGGCCGACTAGTCCTTATATCAGGCAAAAAGGATTCTCCAGTGGAATTTCGTCAACAGCGAACTATACCTGTCATGACTGAGTAAGTCTTCCGGGTATGCTCTTGCCTCCATTTTTGTGTGTGTAGGTTTCTCAAAGCACACTGTACCAACTCCCTCACACTTTCTCGGGAGGATCCCAACTCTCGGTGGCAGGTAAGCTCATATGAGTTTTTGTACGAAACATTAGTTGCATCCTTTTCAGGGATTAAGCCCCGACGAGCTGTAAATAGAGTAAACCAGTTGCAATTGCCACTGGTTAATTGACAACTCCCTCGTATTCCTGTGTATTTCCAACTATTGTTGTCTGAGGGTAATTCGTCAGTGATAGGTTTCGTTGTATTTACAAACATGCTATTGCGTTAATACGTAGTTATATTGACAAAGACACGCGCATTAAGCCTCATTGTGTTGAAATTAATAACATAGTTGTTAATAATAAAGATAGAAAATAATGTGTTGAATAATATATATAGATATATTATTTATATGCTTATTCATTAGCAATGTTACTGGCATATATATTTATAGTTGTAGCATGCGCCTTGTCAGTTGAATTGAACTAAAACGAAAGAGATAACCACGCTTTACTGGATACGACATTCACATATGCAAGATATGCAAAGATTCAACACAAGGATGAAAAACCTTCGAAATACCAATCGCGATCAGCATATCTGCATCTGACAGGTTGAATCATGTATGAGGGGTTTATAAGTACTTTATAAGGCCGGTCACAGTGACCAAGATTGCAGCGAAGGCAATCATCGTTGCTAGAAGGAGAACTAGTAGAGAAGTTAGACCACGCTGCTTCACAATAGAGTCGATTATAGTCTTACCAACCAGAGTGCCAATAAACGCTGCTGAGGAGTACACAACCTACAGGATAATCGTTGTTCAAGAGATAGGAGGACTCAGGTTACAGCGTAGTCCCATGGGACGAGTCCTGCCATAATGAAGGCTAATGCCGCTGATGAGGAAGTGAACAAAATCAGAGTTGCTATTGTCGCTGTGCAAACCTGCGGGGCGGACAGTGGGAGATCCCATAGAGCCATGACTTGCCTCCGAGATTGAGCATGAGGGGCCCTAACATCATACCGCCTCCGATGCCTAGGAGGCCCGCTACGATGCCAGCAGCGAACGTAGCTATCGAATACGTGACAAAACTTCGGCAGGTCCACAGGATGTCACCTGGCTGAGGGGAATGTCGTTGTTATGGTAGAAGGGCCTAGTACCGCGAACGAAAGGATAAGCAACCTCTGTCTTGGTCGCAGTGTCGAGTACAACAGACCGCCCTGTGAAGAGGCCGAAGAGTATAAGCCAAGTCATCACTATAGCAGATAGGGTCCAATAGGCTGGCCCACAGTAGGGTATAGCATCGGGGATCATGGACCTCCAATAGGAGGGCTATGGAGTAGTAGAATGGTGTAGCACTACTCACTCAGTCCCTTTCCCGCATCGCAGCACTAGGAGTAGAATAAAAGCCGCCCATACAGTGCCCAGCTTGGTATGCTTATCGATGGGGTACTTCATGATGGATGAGACGAAGGGACCATCGTCGGCCCTACCTGCCGGGCATCTCTGTCTATTAACCGCTGCCTCAAAAGACTGCTCTCATGACCGCGGTCATAGGTCGGCTGCACAGGTCGGCGCGATAAGGATATAAGGAATGAATCTCTCTATCGCACTCCGAGAAGGAGCCCTTCGTCCCGGCTTTTGGCTGTTCACCGTCATTCACATCAGAATCAGCATCATATAATCGGGGACAATCTGCAGTATCATCCGTCTTCCAGTGGGAACTTCTTACTCCCTTCCTGAGTGGCGACTGCAGGAGGAGGCGGGGCACTCGACGATCTATTCTGACACTCTGCCCGATAGACTCTGACGCCTTTCCGGAAAGTGATAGCCGATGTGATTCCAAGGACAATTGGCATCGTTATGATGACCAACCACGTCGGGAGGACCTGCATTCAAGGGCCTGGGCGCTACCAGAGTATTCCTTCTCGAATTACCTCCGTGCGAAGACCGGGGCATTCTCTAGGGCAAACCCCTCTAGGCAAACACAGTGTTGTGTTTATTGACAGTGAAGGGCGGCATGCAACAGGATAGTCTTTATCGGTGCAGACCAAGGAGGCTGATGATGACGGCATCTGCCAGACCTTATGGCCAGGCCAGGGGTATTCTTACTGTACAAGAAAATAGGCTGATTAGGAGGCCGACACTACGGCACATTATAATGGTGCTGTTGGATCTGTTGTGGTATACAATAATAACTCAACACCAATATGTGGCATAGGGTATTGGTAGTGATAGTAGGAAATTGGTGGTGGTGGTAGCTATTCGGAAGTACACCTAACAGTCGCTGCCTTTCGACGGTCGAGGCAAAACCATCCCGACTCCAACATCGACATGCATGCCAGAGCTGCTGACAGGGTGGCATCCTTCTTCACGATGATGTTGATGCTACTGCGACACCGCCCCTGTTGGCGTCATCATCGTCCCGACCAACGGCAGCAGTGTTACTATTACCACCGAGGTATAGTAAAGATAACACCAAAAGAAGTAGGAGGGAAGGAGGAACATCCGATAGTGATCGGATAGCAAATCCGCGTTGACTGACCACAGCATGAATGGTCCTTGGGAATAAGTCATCGTATGGTTCAATGACCGTGGAATGGAAGAGCTCCTCCCCTTTAACGGTAACGGGCAAAGACACAGCTTCAGACCTCGTACCGTATGAGGAGACTGAGAAGGCAACACATGCGATGATTGAGACCATCAGAAAGAAGGACGGCCCGAAGGGGCTTCGATGGGGCAGCAGTAGTCGAGACATGGAAAATGACCACTGTGAAGATATGAGGGGAAGAGGTGAACTCAAGGACGGAATATGTGATGAGAGATATAGCCCAAGATGAACCAACATTTGCAGAATACGAGAGGGCCTTCACAATTGACGAGCCACGTCAACCTGTCCAGTTAGAATGCAGCATAGCATACTCGGACGTCTATACGAGATTTACATTATCAGATTATGCTATATATAGGTAGATGTGGCCGATACAAAAATGCCCTCGACGAAAGTAGCGATGGAGTGGTACGTTTAACATATGGTACTATACAAGACCTCGGTGGGTCCGGAAGAATGATATGAAGAAGGCTATCGTGATGACCATGGGTTTAGAGGATTCCTCCATGCCTGAGAAGAAGGCCTATAATCAATCGCCCATCCCTCTGTATTACCATGGACCGGAACTATCCTTAAACATGAGACTTCTACCTCTACAGAGACAGCTGCCAGGTATGGTGACTGCTGTCCTTGCTGGTGCCGTCCCGTCTAAACTGACCGGGTGGAGCGTCGTGTGCCTCTTGCAAGGAACCATGTTGGGCCGTCTCTTCCTCTGCTGCCGTGGTGCCTTGGGAATACAGAACTACTGCCAAGACTAGAAAAATGATGGATGGTGGAGTGTTGCTGATGATCCCTCCGCGGTGATAAGGTTTCACGAAGGGGCCTCCCACCGGCATCACTGATGCTTTCCCGATAAGGTTCATCCTTTGACCGTCATTAACGGATGGCAACGTTATTATAGGATCACTCCCTGCCGCCGTCCACCCAGAGGCCGGAGCTATGATGAATAAGAATAATAAAAAGAAGACCAAGTGAATGGAAGAACCTCGTCTACGACCACCACCGAAAGTAGGTCTTGATGATGTATCGTACATTGGCTGGAGGACCTATCGGAAAAATTAAACCTAAAAGGCGTGAAGTTCGGCCTGATGCGTATAAGGTACAGGGTAGATGAAACATAAGATTCACCGCGTCACATCTTTAGCATCACGCTTCCTGTGTCACTCCTGGTCAAGTGTCTGTGGAATCTCCTCGCGTTGGGTCCCCGCTCATTCTGTCAGCTCCCTCTCAGCCACAACGCTTCCACAGTAAACTATACAGAGTAAGAGAAACCCGATATGTCATCCAGTTACAGAAAAAGAGACGTAATCGGCCCAGGGCGTGCGCTCTTGCGGTCCTGACCAGTCCGTAACACTGAACACAAGATGAGACGTGTATCATATGAGTGCTATCATAGCACTGCTATGATAGCAGTCTCAGAGGTGGATCATTCTCCCACACCTCGTCAACCTCGCTGGAACGTTGGGCAGACACTGGGTAGTAAGTGTACACCTGGCAAGTCCCAAGGATCTCTGGGTTGCGATGCTGAGCTTAAACGGGGAACATGCGACTGAGGGCTTCAGACTCGGCGGCGGTGCCACCGTGGCGGGGTCCGAATTCAGATTCGGACGCCTTTGAGGAACGCGGATAGCATATACGAATCAATCAGATCTTCAAATGAGCAATAGTTTGGGCAGAATCTGCCCAGTATCTAATGCTGTGTGGATCGAGAGGTAGTCTACATTTGTGGATTAATATTCCTATGGTTATTATATTGTTGTAAAAGTTTTTCCTCGAAAGAGGGGTGCAAGTAAGCACGAGAGGCATGCCCAGAGCCGCGTTAACAACGCGAGAGAGAAGCTTTCGGGGAAGAATCAGCGTTTTCAGGGAAAGTCTAGTGTCCGCGTACACATAGTTCAGAGTCAGTATTTCCAGGAGACCGTTCGTAGCCGGAATTCATATCACATCCACGATTGCTAACTGACAACTCATTAACAAGACAATTCTCACATCACTATTGCGGACCGAGAAGGCGCAGTACGAGTTCTCGGGTTCCCGCTAGTAACGTGTCAAGAACTTTCCAAACGCAAGCAAAGAGGGTACAGGAAATCATACGCGAAAAAGGACCTACCATGGTCGCAGCTCGGCGCATGCAGATTTAAACAATGAGATACCATGCACCCATCGATCCCCATCATACACACGAGAAAGTATTGATCACATGGCCGAATGAAATCAGAGTGCACGATAACGTGCGATCCATCACGCAGCGGCACCATCGCCACCATCCTGATCAGATGTCCAAAGAGTGAGATTGTCTCTAAGGAGTTGCATAATAAGAGTCGAGTCCTTGTAACTTTCCTCACTAACATTATCGAGTATTAACAACGAGTAGACAAGTTTACGGTTGTGAAACTGAGATTGAGCGTATCAATGTCATTTAATATAATGGCTCAGGGAAAAAACACCATCAATTGCGGGGCACGCACGTACACAGGACTGCACGCACGAACAAAGCAAGACCGGGCTCGTCAATCCTCAATACGCCCCCTCTGCCCCGACAATTGAGGGTGATGCAGAATCGGCACAACATTATAGTGATGATGATCAACAACGCTACCGTCAGTTAAGACAATACGGATCCTTCTACCTTCATCTAGCAGATCCTTCACATGACCCAAACGGTATCCGGGGCTCAGCTTCTTTTCCGGATGGTAGATCAGCACTGGGTCACCAATCGTAGGCTTCAGGATCTTGTTCTTCAAGCTCTGGTACCCCATAGAGCGAGCGACAGCCATCCTCATGTCGCGGAACATCTCATTCAGGAAATAACACCGCACTGCTCTAACGCGGTGAGAAATAGGAAGAGTAGAAGAGCCACCAGCGAGGACGCAACCTCGCTTACGAGTAAATCCACGAGCCAATTGATCAGGCGTAACCACGACAAACTCGCCAGATGGCTCGTCAGAGTTAGCATAATCCAACGGACGAGTATTCATCAGGAACGTTACCTCCCTGCAGATACTCTCCAAATCGACATCGTCCTTGCGTCGCGGACGTCGTCGTCCCACAAATCCCGCTTGGCTCCTCAGAAGCGTCTTTGCGATCTTTATGCCAATACCATGAGCACGTTCACCGCCACCACTACGCCATGGAGATCGCACTGGCAGCAATGAAACCGTCCCATTCAACACGCGAGAAACCTCTTTGGGGAAACGTGCACTGCGGAAGTAAGCAGCATTATCACACCACAATCTTCTCAACCCGCCTTGTTCAGTCTGCACTCGGACGAGAGAATTCAGACGTCTATCGTGGTCTCGCCAGTCGGAACCCAAGTGGAGTGGAAGGTATGGAGACAGTAGACGGTAAGCACCTTGGTCGTCCCGGACCAACCTTTGATATCTCCAAGGCTCAGGACGTCGACGAACACATCGTGGTACGGTTCCCACGCTGTGGCTTGGGTGCGATGAGGTCCAGCACCCGGTGGCTGAGTCCACGTACGACGAGCTCGGATGAGCTGACAAACGAAACAGTGCTTTACCAAGGCGCGAACATCCATACGTAGGCGAGGCAAGTAGAACCGATCATACACAGATGCCACAGTCGAGCGGACATTTCCGTGTTTGCTCAGCCGGTGCGAGTCGAGACAGATCTTTGCTCGAAACGCACGACAACACTCATCCTTCGGGATAACAGGCAAGTAGGTACAACCACCGTCTGCAGAGCCGTTTCGGAAACAATACACCCCTGCGGTCTCATCGTGTACGTACGGGCCGGCACACGACAGAAAAGGAGGCTTCATCTGCTGCTGCAGAGATCTCACAAGGTAGTTGACATTATCGGCCTCGAGTCGGACATCCTCAACTCTCTTCGCAGACGGCCTCAGAGCATTGAAAACTCTGTGCAGGAAGAGGAAATCGGTAAGGACGCCATTCACATCCCAATTGCAACCACATAGAGTCTCGATAAATGGCTTCGGCTGTTGTTCATCGGCAGCGGAATCGGCTGCACAACAGGCAAGGAAACTCTCTGTAGAAGGCATAGCACTCAAAAGAGTGTAAATGTCCACATCATGAGCATCTTCATCCATCAGCTCCGCCCCCTCAGATCTCATGATCCAAGACAGGCCTACTCCTTCAGCTTCCGGCTCTGAGAAGATCTCGGGGAAGTCACCAGTGTTACCAGGACCACCATGGAGAGCATCGACCAGCTTCATCCGTTGGCCTGATTCTAGGTGGACCTCTCTCTCGAAGAGTCGCGAGAGCATATCCGGCATGGTGTTCGACTTACCCTCGATGTGTTTCACCACCACTGTTCCGGCCCCCAAGGTCTTCAGGTAGTCGAGCTCATCCCGGAGGGCGTTGAGGGTTCGCAACACTGCCCTCCGCTCTAGTGATGATCTAGACACACCCCCATGACCGTTGATCCACTGCACCGTCGGTTTATTATCCGATCTTACGGTCAAGGTAATCGAAGGTAAGGTTCCTGACAGTGTCGTCGCTAAGTGAGCCACAATATCAATAGCGCACTGCACCGCTCGACAACAAACGGATAATTCACGGCGATTTGAATGATAATGTTGCTGAGCGAGAGTGAATCTCCAAGCCCCAGATGCAAGAAGATATCGAGTGGCTCCACTATCACCATTTGGGTGCACTATCGATACAGTGTACCCTGCTCCAATGTTAGAGGCATCGGCCGCGACTTCGATATGTAAAGGATCAGCGCTTTCTCGAAGTGGAGTGTCATGTAAGCACGGAGTGATCGTCGCCGTTCTCTCTAAAATCCAGTTCATCAGCGACCGAGCAACAGACCTCTGTAGATCAGATAGTTTGGAAAAATCGCACGAGCTTCTCCAATCGACCTTCGCAAAGGTGTGGGCAAACCAGCTTCGGATAGTATCCGCTAGCACCCGGTCGATTGGGTGGCAACCAGCACAGTCATATGCTAGGTTCCCGCCGAGAGAGAAGATAAAAGCCTTAGTCACCGTCGTCGTGACGTTACCATCCAACACTTGTAACACTGATGTGGCCTGCTGCCGAGCCAACTGGAGCCGATCACCTCGGTTGCAATCGACGCGAAGAAGAGGCGTCGGTCCACTCTCATCGTAAGTCATTGTGCATCCCAGTAAGTCGGCGGAATCCGACCATACGAAGAGGGAAGTCGGTAGGTTCATCCGCTCTAGGATATCGGCAACATGACTCCTTGATGACCTGATGGCGATCGCTTGGAATTTCTTCCGAGATACCCCGAAGGCGCATCTCTGTAGTGTATATATCAACCAACATACTGCTGAAGCACCGTCCACTCCCGCACATAGAATGTCATCAACGAAGCAGAGTAATAGGAAACAAAGAAGCAACATTGCACAGAGAGCTCTGAATGCTGCTATCAGGTCTCCCAGAGTATGCCCCAAACTTCCAGGACCAGTGGTGACGCCGAAGACACAGCGGTTGCTCGTGTACAGCGATGAACGTACCACCAACAAGGCAAGTAGGCCCAACCAGCGCAATTTATAGAACGCGCGTGAACAATCCATGACCCACATGACTCCCGATCCATACAGACGAGTCACCGCTATGCAGATAGAAACCGTGACCGAGGAACTGGACCCTCTTGTGAAACGACGATTGGCCCGTCGCAGATCGACGACAAGTCTATCTCGTCGCTTGAGAGCTCCTGGGATCATGAATACAACCGATGGAGGGAGAATGTGGGTGGTCTTGGAGAGTGTGTGAATCTCTTCCTCAGATCTCTTTATCCACCATCCTCTCTCTTCATATCCTCGGACTAGCTCGTCAAAGGTCTTCTGCTTCTCGAGGGTTAATCGTTCGTATGCGCGTTCCGCAATTCGACGGACAGCCGTTGGAATTTGTACATGACTCGCCTCGCCCAAGGAATCACATCTAAGCTCAAACACGTGAGTCTGTCGGGAGTCGTCACGTATTTCATCAGCACGGAGCTTCCGTAGACGAGCAAACCAGTGTTGACACTTCCGCATTGGCCACCACCCTTGGCTGACCAATCGGTCAAGCAGGTCAGTTGAGATTGGTGGTACCGTGTCGAAAGGAATGTCCATCTCCTCAGATGATGAGGGCGGGAGGGGAAGTCGTTCATAGGATGTGTCTGCATCCTGTCGGCCCTCAATCATAGTCGTCAGCAGGCAGCCAGCAGCTTCGTCGTCCCATTTCCCATCCCCTAGACTGGGATCAAGAATACATATATTAGACTCTTCGGTCACTGAGCATCGAGCAACGGTAGGCACCGATTCTTGCGGGAATCGGACAAGGGGCAGATCATTACCAGCGAGCGTCACTCGGCTCTCGCCTGAGTCAATCGATATTTTATAATCACGCAAAAAGACTCGACCCGCGATAATCACTGGGCAATCAGATAAGGGGCCCCGTGATACTTGAGGTAGCAGGTACAAATATCTGTCACGAGTAGTTCCCCATCCCTGCTGTTCCCGGAGCTGCATTGGGAACTTCACTTTGCGACTCACTTTTCGACTGGACGAGTCAGCAAGCTTCACTTGGAAACTACACGTCTCAATTGGGAATGATTTTAAAGGGAAAGAGTCATCGTACAATAAAAAATCAAGACCAGCCCCGGTGTCTAATAATAACCGGGCATCTATCCAACTCATACAAGTGGGGGTAGTAGCAAGACGACAACATAACCAGTAAGCAGATGGTACCGAAGCCCTATCACGAGTGATAGGAAGCAGTTTCAAGTCCTGCTCAGGACTCATGAGAAAGGGGCAAACCGGTCAGAACGGATGCTGTTCTTCGTCAGTCGAGAGATAACGGCATCCCTATCAGTGCCAGCCTTGAGAGCAACTATTCGGAAGAACGGATTACGACGTCCTTTTCCCTTCAAAGGGAAGTTGCTCTCCATTTCAGGAATGGCCTTCTGCAGATCGTCACCCCACAGTCCAATGACCTTGATCAATTGGTCAGGCTTATATCGTTCACACCACTGCTTGGGGGTTACTGAGCGAGATCCCGATCCGGAGTTAACCTTATCCACTGAGGCAGCAGAATCCTGTTTGCTTGCCGGCTTCGAGGATAAACTCTCTTCGCAGGTGTCGTCGTACATGGCGGCGTGAACACTATCGACCCCTTTCGTCGGTTTCATTATTGAGGCTTGGTCCTTTGTTCGGCATACCCATCGGATTGCCTCACAAACACTTCGCACTCCGTCTGATGCCTCATCGAATGGCACCGCCGTCTCCAGTCCTCATCGACAGAGGCTAACCCCGACAGCTGGCAAATTCTCTCCATAACCTTCTCAATGATATGCTGTGGGAACTTCGCCAGAACTTGTCTTGTCAATGAACGTCGCTCCGACACGTCGTTCGGGTAGACATCTGTGAATAGATGGTAGATATCGGCGGCGGACTCCAGGAAATCCTCGATCTGCTTACCCCCTGTAAATGTGAGATTGCGTAACTTCTCCTCGTAGGTCTCCTTCAACACTGATCTGCGGCAATACCTCGTCAGAAGGACATTGCGGACCAAATTCCAATCCTGTGAGTGGGTACGTGACGCTACAGTGGCCTTCTTATGGACCGGTCGGACATTACTCAGAGAGGAAAGGAATTTGGTCATGACAGATACTTTGACCTCCTCGTGCACTAGCAAATGTCCTTGCTGGTGATACTCAGCGGCTCCTGCTTCAACGAAGGTGTGTTCAATAGCATGATAGTGCGATTGGAGATCTGTTGCTTCACAGAGTTGAGGCAGACATAACTTAGTCACTGTCGCTGCCGGGCATCGTGAGGAGCGTGACTTCGGAGTGGTATACACCTCATGCTCCTCCTCCTCGGACCGTGGAGAGAGTCGACTGAAACCTTCCTTCCGTGATATCTCGCTGACGGATCGGTCAGCCAGGGCCTCAAGTTCAGCAATACGGGCCTCGAGGCTACCTATCTTAGAAAGATTACTGGCCTCCTTGGACGCGAGGTCGCTCATAAGCTGCTGAGTATCATCCTTCTCGTCGGAGATGATGTTGTTGAGAGCCTCGCGAGTATCCCGGAGGGAACGGCGCGTAGCGGCCAACTCTCTACGGGCTTCAGAGAGCTCAGCGAGCTCCTCAGGTGTCGCCATATTAACAACGAGTAGACAAGTTTACGGTTGTGAAACTGAGATTGAGCGTATCAATGTCATTTAATATAATGGCTCAGGGAAAAAACACCATCAATTGCGGGGCACGCACGTACACAGGACTGCACGCACGAACAAAGCAAGACCGGGCTCGTCAATCCTCAATAGAGCTCAGCGATGGCGTCCTCGAATGCCGTTCTCGCCATCTTACAGGCCTCATCGGGCTGATTCAAAACCTCATAATAGAAAACAGAGAAGTTGAGGGCGAGGCCGAGTCTGATAGGATGAGTTACCAACAAGTCGGACTGGGCAGTGGCGGAGGCGTCCTTATAGGCCTGATGGGCGTTCTCAGCAGCCTTGCTCTTGCCCTCGCCCGAGTTGAATTCAGCAATGTAGCGATAGTAGTCACCCTTCATCTTATAATAGAACACCTTGGACTCTCCAGTCTGTGAGCTAGGAATAAGGTACTTGTCCAGCAGCTGGAGTATGGCATCACAAATCTCCTGGAGCTCGGCTTCAACCTTCTCTCTGTAGCCCTTAGCAATCTCCGCATTAGAGTCTTTACCTTTGGAGGACTCTTTCTGTTCAACCGAAGAGATGATGCGCCAAGAAGCACGTCGAGAACCAACCGCATTCTTGTAGGCAACAGACAACAGGTTGCGCTCCTGAAGGAAGAACAGATGAGCCACGCAAGGCAGCGACCAACGGCAAACTCACCTCGACGGTCAACTCGCTACCGCTCTCCGCGACCACTTTCATATAATCGGCCATCTCATCGTAACGCTCAGCTTGTTCGGCCAACTTGGCGAAGTAAACGTTCTTCTCACGCTCTTCGGACATTACTAGAGTGAATTAAATCAACACCGAGTGGAGCTGCGAACCACGCTCATATTGAATACTCAGAATCGCACATCACTGCGCATTGCAACCGGGAATGCCGAATTATGAGGACAGCGTATCACTGCGTTCCGGAAGTGCGATTTGAAACGGCGGGAATCTTGAACGATCTCGCGCGCCACCAATAAAATCCAAGACCGCATGTCTTACTGATGGAGACTGGCGATCGGTACCGCTATACACACTAGATTCTATGTTCAACGAGAACTGCCGGACACCAGCAAGGGAGAGAATAGTGTCTCTCATCACAAGGAGCAGTGTCTCACGGATATCGAGTAACATCCGAGTCACGTCTCAACATGTTGAGTTGTATGTCACTATTCGATACTCGATAGCTCTATACACCTTATCGTGACAGGTGGCCGCCCAAGGCAATGACAGTCGATAGAGGAGATATATATCTGCTTTACGATAGCCAACCCGTTCGGTGCGCTCCCGACATCCAACTAGGCACACTCAACACTCAACTTGATAGATATCAGATAAACCAGCTTCTCTCCACGTCAATAATTAGTCAAACAGCAGCGCAAGGTTATGGATGATAGACGCCACTTGAAGCCCTCGACAGCTCGTCGACAATCTGCTCTACTGCGCAGCATCGGCTGCACCATCCTGATCAGATGTCCAAAGAGTTAAATTGTCTCTAAGGAGTTGCATAATAAGAGTTGAGTCCTTGTAACTATCCTCACTAACATTATCGAGCTCAGCGATGGCGTCCTCAAATGCCGTTCTCGCCATCTTACAGGCCTCATCAGGCTGATTCAAAACCTCATAATAGAAAACTGAGAAGTTGAGGGCGAGGCCGAGTCTGATGGGATGAGTTACAGGCAGATCAGACTGAGCAATAGCCGTGGCGTCTTTATATGCCTGATAGGCAGCTTCAGAAGCCTTGCTCTTTTCTTCGCCTGAATTGAACTCAGCAATATAGCGATTGTAGTCTCCCTTCATCTTGTAATAAAACACCTTCGACTCTCCAGTCTGTGAGTGGGGTATTAGGCTCTTCTCCAATAACGCGAGAACGCTGTCGCAAATACCCTGCAGCTCTGTTTCAACCTTCTCCTTAAAAAACTTGGCGATCTCAGCATTGGTCGTGTTACCCTTAGAGGTCTCCTTCTGCTCGACAGAGGAGACAATCCTCCAGGAGGCACGTCGAGAGCCAACAGCATTCTTGTAGGCGACCGACAACAAGTTGCGTTCCTGAAATAAAGTCAATAGCACACTCACAGGCTACGCGGTGTGTCTGAAACACATTTCTATCCATTGGATCATGAGTGGCGAAAAATTGTGAAGCATTTCAATGCGAGTGCGCGACAAGAATTGTGGGGACAGCAGACTTGGTGTCTTACTTCGACGCTCAATTCCACATTTGTCTCGGCCACGGCCTTCATGAACGATGCCATCTCGTCATAACGCTCAGCCTGCTCGGCGAGCTTAGAGAGATACACGTTTTTCTCACGTTCGTCAGCCATTATGAATGGGATAGGATGTAGATGTCGGTGGTAGTGGACACGCGCAATCCTCGTGGGCTCGCGTATAAATCTCTATCTCTACTATATATATACTAATAGGAGTGAACAAATCGTGCGTCAAAAAGTTGACTCCGTTCTTGGTTTGTCATATCCGCGTCTGATTTTCTCTGGGTACCTTACATGCCATTGAGACTATCCAGTACTACATTTGTCGTGCGACGAAGCTCCCTATGATTCACAGTATCTCTTGCATAGCGTGATCGATCAAAACGATTTAGATGTGTTAAACCGTCACAAAAATTTGCTCCGAGTAATTAATTCACAATCGTTTCCGTGCCTGTTTTCGGTTCCTTCCAGATTGTGTCTCACTGTCAACACCCCTACATATATCATGTTCGCCGTATACTTGGTACACTTACATTCTATCAAGAACTGCCTTTTCCGTATCACTTACTGTAGCCGTATTTGTAAGATCGACCCTAATAGATATGCGCCGATGTACATTGTGTCAAAACGTTACAGGAAATTATTCACAGCAAGAATAATGCCTTTTCTCTATCTGATCAGCTTTACACCCTTAATACCTACTAAACACTTATTAATCTTTTACCATACGATAGCTTTGTGTCATACGCTTTTTTCTCACTAGCACGTTCAGTTTTCATGGAGATTTCTACCACATTGAACATGCGCCGATGTACACTGTGCCAAAAATTCACGACATTCACTGCCCACAGTATGTGATGTGAAGTATAATTTCTATATTTTATGTCACATCACTCTCTCTCTCTCTCAAAACTCCACCGCCTCTCTCCCACTGCCAACAGATGTGTTGGTAGGGTTTATACATGTCAAGCTTTGATCGCTTCTAACCATGCAATTCACTGAGGTTTCCATACGGAGTACTTCGCGCCTGCAATACTTCATGCTTCGTCGTTTTACTGCTGAAGCACTTACATTTACATATGTTATCCTTCTTTACTCAATAACACCTGTATTGTAGGCATTACGAACGACTTGGTTATCCTACAATCTACTTTCATCCGTCGGTATTCATGAAGTAGTGTTCAATTTTCACCCTCAAGAGTTAATTACTGATCGTGATACTGCTGAGGTACTTGCATCTACACATGCCACTCTTTTCTACATAATAACGCTCCTTTCATGGCATCACCAACTGCATCATCACCCTACCATTCGATACTAACGACGTGGTGACGAACGTCCAACGACTCTGTTGTACCTCCAGATCATCAGCCGATCCGTTTGTGAGGGTTCACTCATTCTTATCACCGACTCTTACTGATGTCGATCATGTGCCGCTTCCAGTCATGCACCATTCTTAGGTATCCGCAAAAACTACTCTTCACTCTCGAGACATTGCCGCTAATCGTGACACAGCCGATGTAATTTATGATCATTTGCTACATAGTGATGCATCTGATTTGGATGATACAACCCACACTGTCACCCAACAATCCTCATTCCGAGTGTGTCATTCGCGGAATCGATATAATCAAACCTCCCATATGCGTGGGTTACAAGTGGCAGTCAACACTTGACAACACAAGACCAATTGGTAATAGAAGAGAGGGTAGTAAAATCCATCGAATTATTCGATTCGAATAATACGTCTGTTTCACCCCGAAGCCGATACTGTTCACTTGCAACCGTTTTTGCGATTGACGATTTTTCTATCTCAATGAAGATATTTAACCTCACTCTCTTGGTCGTATGATTGTGAAATGTTCATCATGTGATTCGGTACTCTCTCGTGAAGTCGCAGTCCATATCTGTGTCTCGGCTACCTGCTAAGGTAGCCGTAGGTAGCCGGCTAAGGTAGCTAAGCTACCGGCTAAGGTCCATTACCTGCTGGACCTTATGGCTTTGGGATACAAGGGATGTTTCAAAGACGATTAGCACCTCAGTAGGAGTATAGCGATTTCAATACCTTTCAGGAATTCTTATAAACCTGTTTCCATGGCTCGCTTCTTATGTCACACATACACAATATACTCTCCAGTCAACGTGTGATCTACAGCGAATGCTCGCTGCAGTATGAAAGTCCTATTTAAGTAATCCCTTATCGTTTTACGAAATTCTTTGTAATAGACTACTTGCTGCCACTATATCTCTCGCATCAGATCCTAACTCCCGATCTTCAGGAGAACACACACAACGCTATAATTTTCCCGCATCGTTAGGAGGCTATTTCACAAGCCCTCATAAGGAGCAACAATTGTGAGGTACCTTACGGTTTCGTTGCAAGGCACTTTTACATTCTTACGATTTGCGGGGTAGGAGTGAGGTAAGGTGTCACTAGGCTCCTCACCGTAAGGCTCCTTAGTAGGGAGTCCTTACCCTACAAGGAGCAGGGAGAGTCTCCCCACGTAAGGCTATTTCATAAGAGATATTTCAAGCCCCGTCCTTGGTGCCGTGAAATTGCTCCGGTGGTACATTATGGCACTTTATCGCACCGGCCTTACCATTCTCGGTTGTTCGCTCCGCTCTTTCCCGCCAGACCACGCGTCTCGCGGCGAGACACTCGTACGCGGATGTTCTGTCCCTGAACCAAGCAATTAGACTTGCAATTGCATATTCGACTTGGCGCTTTAGAGTTTTACGGTGATGACCGATTGTTCTCGAGCGAGTTGATGGTAGTGTTTTTGAGTTTGCTGTACTCAATGACCATAACCTTATTTTTGAGCTTCATCGGAGCACTGCGTCGACTTTTTCGTACGCGCCGGTATGCTCTATACTCTTAAGCTGAAGATGCACCTCGCGGACCTCAGTACGGAGCACGAGGTGCAACTATAGTGAAAGCACCTCGCGTAAGGTGTAAGTCTCCTTGTCCCTTGCTCCTAAATTAAAGGTGCACCTTAAGGAGCGTTTCTTGTGAAATAGGCCTTAGGGTTCCACTCACTGTCTGCTTCTACTCTGAGCAAAAACGAGCTTGAGAGTTCTGGAGCGAAGCGACGGGTTCTCTAACTTGGAGACTCTGAGTCAGATGAGTTTAAAGACTAAACTCAACATGGATATACAGTAAAGCCTGCATGAGGGAATGATTCGCCATCTTGATCTGCAATTCATGGAGACCCATCAGGTTTATGAAGTTCGTATCCGGAGTTCGACTTGCTACTACCCGATTAAGTACTTAAGTCCATCATCGTTTGCCCGACTCGCTTCAATCTATTCAATGCAGTGTACTATCAAGCTGAGTTTTCGACGACTCTGTTGTATCGTGTGTTCATATGACTGGACAGAGCTCAGTATAGCATACAGTCGCATGTGAATCACCATGTGCTAGCTACTATCTCATATCA